TCTGCAGTCTAGCGACAATGTCCTTCCGGGCTTTCATGACGGCGTCCAGCTTCCCTGACACCATGATGGAGAGGCCCTGGTCTTTGGCGAGAGACAGCTCCAGATGGGCACCGGTCCTCTGCATGATCTCCAAGCAGATTTTTGCTTGTTCACCTTCTCCAAACTGGTTCATGTCCTTGTATTTTCTCTCTTCCAGGGGTACATGGAACACCTGCTCAGGAAAGGTCAAAAAGGGAAGGTGAAGAGATCAAGAGATGGGAGGGCGTGTAAATGTCTAGGCACTGAACATACAGAGTAACGAGCCTGAGTTCCTTCATTCCTAAGTATCCCCACTCCTCTCCCTGCCCCAGCTCCAAGGCCCTGAGAGACAGGGGTGGGGAGGCAGGCAAAAAGCCCCCAAGGGCAGGAGGCTGGTGCTCCAGTGAAGAGAACGACTCCCTGACACAAACGGACAGCAAGGAAGCATCAGGCGGCAGCGAGTGCAGCGGAGGAAATAGACAGGGAGGAGAGAGGGGCTGGGGGACAGGGAGACACTGAGAACAACCACGCTCAGAGGTGAGCAAGAGCAAAAGGGTGAGGGCAATGAAAAGGGGCAGGCAGGGGGGCACTATGAGCACAGTGGGGTGCAGTCCAAGCAGGAGAAAGGAAGGGGCCGCATCCCTCTGCCCACTCTGCAGCAAGAGAAGGCAACGAAGCAGAGTTCAGGCAGAAGGATACATGCTGACTGATGACTCAGCTTCGCTTTAGCTGCTTTCTGGAGAAGGGAGTGAGCAGATGCAAGGGTAGAACCAGGAGGAACCAAAATGACTCCTGGTCTTGGGTCTGAACCCCTAAGTAGAATGTGGTGCAGGTAATAAGATCAGGAAGACTGAGGAGAAACCAGTCCCATCTCGGATAGCCACGAGAAAAATAGAAAGATCCAGGATGCAATTAGTTAGGAGTCTCAGGTTCAGGGAAGGGAACTTCTCAGCACATGGTTGGTAAGTAATCAGCAACCATGACCCAACACAAGTTCACACAGAGAGGAAGTGCTTTGCCTGCCAATATCCCATGTTAAGGTAGCAAAGAGATGGGGTAAGGAGATCAAAGAAAGCCAAGAAAACGGGGTCGCGTACGCCAAGAGGAGAAGACTTGCTTTGACACGGAGGGAGAGCAGACAGACAAGTTCTTGTTGGGGCTGGGGATGTGGAAAGCCACGTTCAGCAGCTGGGAGCAGAGACTGGGTAGCAGTGGACTGAAGAACCAATGGGACCTGTTCCTTCTGAGCGCTGGGACTATATGGTGAGCATGAGCACAGCTTCCCCAGGAGTGGGGGCAGATATACTCTGAAAGCCCAAAGCACGCTCATTTGTGTGTGTTCAAAACCCGTTCCATCAGATGCTACCACTTCCTACTCGGAGGAGCAGGTAAAGAGAGAATGGAGTTTCTACCTGAGTGATGACAGAAGCTTTGATGGGCCGGATCTTGTTACTCCAGGCGCCAGCAGGCTCCTGGGCATTTTCCAAGCAAGCTGATTTCTCCGGGAGTGGAGGAAAGGCATCTTTGTAGGTTGGAGGGTCGCTCTCCTCTTCTGAATTTAAAGTAGCAACTGGACCGGCCAACATAGATTAAAAGGAAGTACAGTGCTTTCAACATTAGACAAAAAAACACTTGGAGAGTTTTAATGTCAAGAAAGAAGAAAAACAACATTAATTGCTTGAGTGACACCCTGCCCCCCCATCCCTTCATTCAGTGATGGGAAAGTGCCCCAGGCGGTCCCCAGGCCCAGCGCGCCCTCAGGTTCGGCATGTCACCTGGAGAGGTAGCCTCCCCGGTGAGCGGTCAGTTCAGACACCAGGTGCCCCACTGCTCCTTGAAAACAGGCCTTTCCACAAAGAATTTAAGCCCCAGACCCTTCTGATCCTGTGCTTAAACAAATCACAACTATGACAATGCCTGGCACATAACCAGCCCTTAAATTTGCAGAACAAAATAATGCTGTTGCTCAGCACTGCCTGTGAAGCAGACTCCAGCCGATTTCCCACTGTAGCACACGGTACTGAGAATAACCCTCGCGGGAGCTGCCATCTCTGACCCCCGCCCCCCCTTCACAGGCACAACAAGCCTTGTGGAAACCAGGCCCCAGAGCATTAATCGCTTCCATCCCCCACAGTGCCCTCATCATTCACGTTTTTGTCCCATTAACTACAGCTCCGTGAAAACAGGAGTGTGACTGTTTCGGATCACCCCAAATGCCCCGGCAATGGCAGGGCCCAATAAAAACCACTGTGAATGGATGTGCACACAGAGCAGGGAGATGACCTTTGGAATCAGACAGGCCTGTGTCCAACTCAGGGTTCATCACTTCTAGCCGCGTGGCTGTGCTATCCCGGGACGCCAATAAAGACTCAGTGCTGACAAGCAGCTGGAGCCTGTCAGAGCCTTGCTTTCCTCATCTAGAAGTGCAGACTCTACAGGGCTGTTGCATCAGGTAGAAAAGAGCCCTGCAGGCACTCTGCAGTATTTGGGTGTCCACCGCCCTGGAAACGAGCACTTAAAACACAGCCAATGTGACTGACAAAGTGCATTTTTAATTTTAATTAAACTTAAGAACTCACAATTGATTATTAACCTACTCTTTCACCTGAAAATTTTATATAATCTACATACAGTTGAAAGATTACAGATGAAAATTTAACATTCAAAATCAAGTTACCCTGTTTTTGTAAACATATACCAGATTTTGAGGGATTTTAGTTCAGCACAACTGGGGAACAGCAATTCTGAAAAAGTATCTCATTTTAATTACCAACGATCAAAATTACTGGCTTTCCAGAAAGTGGCCCACACTTCAAATCTTTTTGTATCCAGAAATATCTGTCACTCCTGCCCAGTTCCACCTGCACACAAGGGCCGCACCGGCAGTGAGAAACAGAGCGGGTAAGAAGTGGGAGCCCAGGCTCAACCCCAAAGCTACAGTCCCAAAAGGCACTTCTCAAAGGCCATAAGGTTTGACGAAGATTTGGAAGGAGCGGTGTCTCAAAGTGAGAAGACGAGCACAAAAGGGCGGTCACCTTTGATCTGTTGCGGAACCAGCCCACTTCGGTGTTCAGCAAAGCTCTCTTGGGTCAAAACTGCAACGGAGCTCATGGTTGATCTCGCGCCTACGCACAATCCGGATGAGCCACTGAAGCGGGAGGGAGTGAGTCAGAGAGAAGAGAGTTAAGGCACAGCCAAACTGTTAGGCTTAGAGTTTTAGCCAAAGGTTTAATTCTGTTTCACCAGCAAACCACACCATTTTCTTCACTTGTCACAACCTCCGATAAAAGATGATACCCAAACTTTCAGCAAATGATGAAAGGAAAAACTCAAGTGAAGGAGGGTCCTTGGACAACTCTCCCCTCAAAGGTTATTCTCTAAGTGAGGAGCCAGAGGCTCCAGCTGAGGGCTCCAGTCCCACAATGTCTTGGGGCTGCAGAGACACCCTGCAGATCAACCTCTGGAAGGTTCTCCTAACAGCTATCTCTGTTATTTTCTTAGTCTGTTCATCCACATGCCTCCTGATGCCTATAAAATACATCACAGGACAGCTGCTACAAGAAGCAATCAGCCCACCTCTGCAAGGATGGTGGGCACCGCGGGCACAGTCAGCAAGGCCCAGCGCACCACACAGCCTGGCCATGCCCACGGGCCCAGGGGCTTAAAGAGCAGTCTCTCAGAGCTCCCTGGCAACGTTAACAGCAAGAAGCTGGCGTTTTAAGTGCCTCTGACATGTGCTGGTTGGTTATTCTCCTATGTCCTAGCTCTCAGGGGTCAGAGGGGACTCAGAGCAGGCGGGACCTGGCCCAAGGGCACACAGTTCCTTGGTTCAGGGAAGGAACCAAGCAGTCTCTGCCTCCAGACCCCACTCCTGAGTGCCAGGGTACTCAGTGGGACTCAGGCTCATTCAGGCAGAGGTGTTCGCTTCCTCCCTTCAACTCTAGGTGAGCTCCATGCTATTGCGATGAGGAAGAACCCACTCTTTTCACACCATTAGGCGCCAAGTGTCTTTTTCTACCACCATGGCAAAAAAGTATTAAGAGAGCTAAGTGATGTAATAAGAGTGAGTTTTTGCATAATTTTCACAGCTCAGTAAGACCTCTTCCCAAGTCCAAAAAAATTAAGCTCTGCATCCTCAAGAGAAGCAAGATCCAAACTCAGGGAATCCTGAACAAACATAATTCACATTTGAGAGAGGAAAGGCTTCAAACTAGGTAGAGGTCCGATAACACATCTGAAGGGCACACGTGGACACGGACGGCTCTTGTTACAGCAAGTCTCTCTGAGCCACTAGAAACTTAAGAATGAAACAACGAAAGAAAGTACACATGCAGCCCAGGGACAAGAAACCTTCAGGAAGGACAGTCACACTTACCAGCAAAATGGTCAGTAGCCAGAGAGTCCGTCCTGAGGCCGCCTCTGTCAGCCTGCCAGTTTTTGCTGGTGTGGGACAGGAAGGGAGGATGAACAAGAAGAAAACCAGAGAGAAGTTACTTATCTGCATTCTATAACCCAGATCCTTTTACCTCCCAACCAGAAGAGGGCAAAACGTTATCTACACTTTACTTACTAATACTAATATTTAGACAAATTTCTTGGTGAAAAAAAAGGAAGCTCTGCCCCCAGGCTATTAGCTTCAAACAAAACCTATCACAGTAAAATCTAAACCATCCAGAACTTTTAGAGGGCAACTTTTCCCTGGACCTGAGGGACTGATCCCTTAATGTCAAAACTTTTAAATTTAACCATTTTGAAGTAAAATGCTTACAAAATTGATGGTTGGCTCTCCCGCATGGTTCAGTAATTTCTCCTGTACTCTTAATCTCTGACTGCTGAGCCACAAGGAAAAAGATTCTGTGAGACTGGGCTACGATGCAGAACAGAATGCAGACCTTGGGGGCTCCTGAGCTCTGCAGGGTGACTGAGAGCTACTGTCTTTATGAGCTCGCTGTGTGTTTTGTAGTTACTTTGTTCTCGCTGTTATCCTGTAAAAGTCCTTTGGTCCTTCTAATACACTGGAGATTTAGAAACCGGGCCATAAAACAGCAGGGTTGGAAGGAACCTTCAAAAGCCGTCTGGGGAGGACCAAGAACTACTCTGTGAAGTAAGAGGGTGTGGGTCATCTTGCCTTGGGGACTTTAGGATAGGGAGGCTTCCAGGTAGGTTACCTGCCACTTTACACAAACACCACACACACTCAGTAGAGTGCAATGAGGTGGACTTTATGATAGGGGTAAGGTAGGTGTCCAAGATGGGAGAAGCAACAACAGTAATAAGAACACCTACTAACTGGAGAATAACATCCCCAAATTCTTGCCCATAAGACGTGTAATTCACAAGCTAGGTAGGCAGTTCGTGGCAATCAGGGGTGTACCAGTAGACTCTGGATTTAAAAGGGTCTCATTGTCCAGCAGCATTTCAGGACTTTAAAAAAAAAAAAGAAAAAAAAAATCTCTAAATGCAGGGTTTGAGTCACATGGGGAAAGTACCATAAGCCAGAGAGGCTCTGGCCTCCCTGGGGCCCGAGTCCCACCAGACACTCATATGTACCAAGACGGAGGGAGAGAAGTGGAGACAAACTGACCAAGACGACTATGAGAATCTGCCAACAATTCTAACCCACAAGTTCTAAAGATTAAAGCTAAAATCAAAGTATCAGAGTAGCACTTCCACATGTGGATTCTGACAAGATGTAAACGGTTAAGCACTCCCTCGGATTCCGAGTGTCTGGCCTGTGTACACTTAGCCAGTCTAGGCACAAGATGGAGGTGTCCTCTAGGTTAAAGTGCCAACAGTGAATCCAGGTGACCCAGGCCCTCCTTGTTCAGAACTTCTACTTGGGCCGCACCTGCTCTTCTACCTGCTGACCTTGCATCTCAACAGCCTCCCACCCCAGGTCACGCTATGCCACTTCCTAAAACCCACAACCATCCACCCCCTAATAACCCAGCTTCCCCACATGCCCAACTATGTTCACACCCTCTTCTCTGCTCCCACTCACCAGCCCTCCTGCCTTTCTGGACAGGGCAAATCTTCAGTGCCTGGTGATAGCCACTCAATAAGCCTGTAAAGTGCGGTCACTGTCCACGTCCCCTCCAGCCACAGGTCTTTGAGGAGCAATTCCCACCCTGCACCTAGTGTCACGAAGATAAGACCAGTTCCTGAAGGTCTCTTCTGAGATAGCTCACACACCTTTCAGAAGTCAATCCCAGCCAGCTCCTCTATGAAACCCCTTAGCCCAGGGGGCTCAGGAAAGGATCACCAACCCCACTGAACCTACTAATGTGTAGGAGGGAGAGCCTGTCCCAGAGCCTCTAACGCCCCCAAGTGTGCACAGGCCCTTGGGCAGCAGCAGGACAGAGTGGATCTCCAGAAACTCCAGACTTGTTTGACAGGATACGCTGGGTCTCTAGTCCCCAGATTTCCAGGGGCAGTTTATCGCAGCTGGAAATGAATGCATCACAACAAGCAGCAGAGTTAACATCTAGGGCTCTAATATCATCAAAAAAGGTTGTTCTTTTTCTTATAAACTTCTCAAAACCCTATCTTTTAACAATCTACTTTAAACACATGACGCATGTGTAAATGCAGACCTCCCTCTACCTGAGACTCTGGGCGCTAAGATTTTATGAAAGGCCAATCTCAGCTCTCCTAACATGCTCTCAGCATGACTGGCTACCTGCCTCTATTTCAACAAAGCAGCACCTAAGAAACTGTCCCCCACAGCTCTATGCCCACCCAAACCTGCTCCCCACCAGCCCTTGCTCTGTCTTCACAGACAACACCCAACAAGATGACTCCCACTCTACCGAGTCCTTGGACGACCCCACCAGTGATCGCTGCTATCTTAAGTTCTCAGGAGACCGTACACAGGCCCCATTATCAAAGAATAGAGGCCAAACACATGCTATCACGGTTCTTCACTTAATCTAGTAACACTGCTCAATCAGGCTGGAAAGGGACCTCAGGCACCACTCCACTGCAATCTTTGAATACCAGCAGACAGGACCTGTACAGCTTTCCAAGGGAGCCCCGCTTCACCTCTGCACAGCTGTCAGAATAGTCTGCCTCATGTAGTGCCAAGATCTACAACTTCTTGCCCCACTTTTGCCACAGAGAACAAGTCGACTTTTCTACAAGACTGCTTCAGACATGTGAAGGCCTTTCTCCTCCAGTTCTTCCCAAGATTGCTCCAGTCCCTTCCTCATTTTGGTTGCTCTCAACTACTTTCCCTGCAGGAAGCATTCAGATCCACTCACTCCAAGCAAATTGCAAACTATTCTCATCGTGGACCTTAAGTCTTATTTTTCAGAGCATAAATGTCCACATCTCAAAATATAACTATGCAGCCAACAGAACTAGGCCCAAAGAAAGGAGAACAGAGAGCAGCAGAGATTCTTCTCTTCCATCCGAGGGAACTGCCAAGCACTCCCATCATGTGGGAGAAATGCAAAGTCACAATGTTTGTGGACTACATCTGAAACTTGGTCCTAACAAATATACAACAGGAAAATCTTTAAAGGGAAGAATTTTCCTTCTCTACCAGAAGTACTTGTTGATTCCCTTGGGCCGTTCTGCCAATTATATTTTCAAAAGGAAAGGTCTTTGCAAAGAAGTAACAGTACAGAAAGAACTTTATCTCAGCCACCTCATGAGTATCTCCCTACTTCACATAACTAGACAAGACCGAATACAGAGGATATTAAAAAACTCCAGTGGAAACCCAGGACTTCTTTCTTCTTCTTCCAAAATTAAAACTAGTTACTTTTATCCCCACACTAAACCTTCAAAGGAATTTTCCCCCCCAAAGTACTTCTCAAGACCCACAAGCCAAACTTGAGAACAAAAACAAATTCCCCACGGGCTAAAAGTTCACAAAGCCCCAGTGTGAGCGAGGCCCCCCCACGGGGGCCAGGTGAGCGGCTTCACCAAGTTCTGGAAGTCGGCACCCATCCCGCAGGAGGACTTTCGCAGATGCCACCTCAGCAGGCCCTCCCACAGGCCACGCGAGCCCGCGGGCGGGGACAGGCTTAAAGGGGCAGTAACGCGCTCGGCCTCCCCGCCTTTCATCCAAATTCGGTATTTTTCCGTAATGTGTTTTTCGTGCGCGGACCCTGGGGTGTGTCCAAGTTGCGCTGCAGCCCCCCAGGGCCACAGGCCCACCGGACCAAACAGACGGACAGCAGGTGGAGGTGCGGCTGGGCCTGCACGGGCCCTGCTCTTATCCCGGCCCCGGCCCTGCCCTTTGGGACCCGCACTGCACCCCCAGCACCCCCAGCCACCCCCCTCAAGTCCGGGCCGGGGGAGGGACGCAGGGGGGGAGGGGGCAGCTCGGCGGCCGGACGCCCACGTCACTGGCCCGGGCCCCAGGTCGGCCGCCCCTCCCCCGCGCCGGGCTAAGGGGTTGGGGGGGGCACGGAAAGAGCAGGACCCCGAGGGGCTGCCGCCGCCGGAGGCGCGGG